CTGGCACAGTGAGGCAGCAGTGCTAACCACTGAGCCACCGTGCTGCCCGAAATATATGGTGTGACAGGACTACAGTGTGAAGTGTGTACGATGTGACAGATATACAGAGTGACAGGAATACAGTGTGACAAGTATACGGTGTGAAAGGTATACAGTGCAAAGGGCATGAAGGGTATACCATGTGAATGGTATATGATGTGACAGGTATACCAAGTGAAGGGTAACAGAGTGACAGGTATACATTGTGGAGTGTATACAGTGTGACAGGTATACAGTTTGACAGGTGTACGGTGTGAAGGGTATGCCACTTGAAGTGCAGACTGTGTGAACAGTATATGTTGTGACATGTATACCATGTGAAAGGTATACAGTGTCAAGGGTATACGGTGTCAAGGGTATAAGGTGTGAAGGGTGTAAAGTGTGACAGGTATACAGTGTAAAAGGTATATGGTGTGACAGGTATGCAGTATGGAGGGTATACGGTGTGACAGGTATACCATATGAAGTGTCTACAGTGTGACAGGTAGACAGTGTGAAGGGTTTACAGTGTGAAGTGTATTCGGAGTGACAAGTATGCAGAGTGATGGGTATACGGTGTGACAGGTATACAATGTGAAGGGTATGCCATGTGAAGTGCATACTGTGTGAACGGTATATATTGTGACATGTATACCGTGTGAAGCATTTATGGTGTGACAGATATATAGTGTGAAGTGTATATGGTGTGTCATGTAAAAAGTGTGACAAGTATATGGTGCAACAAGTACACAGTGTGAAGGGTATATCGTGCGGCAGGTATACAGTGTGAAGGTATATTGTGTGAAGGGTGGACAGTGTAAAGGGTATACAGTGTGACAGATCAATAGTGTGAAAAGTATACCTTCTGAAGGATATACATTCTGAAGGTTACGTGATGTGACTGGTATACAGTGTGAAGGGTAGACAGTATGACAGGTATATGGTGTGACAGGTATACGGTATGAAGGGTATATCATGTGACAGGTATATGGTGTGAAGGGTATACATTGTGAAGGGTAAATGGTCTGAAGCATATATATTGTGAAGGGTAAACGTGTGAAGTGTAGACAGTGTGAAGGATATACAGTGTGAAGGGTATACTGAGCAAAGTGTATATGATATGACAGGTATACAATGTGAAGAGTATAAAGAGTGAAGGGTAAACGGTATGACAGGTATACTGTGAGAAAGTTATATGGTGGGATAGGTATAGAGTGTGACAGGTATAAAGTGTGAAGGGTATGTAGTGTGACAGGTATATAGCGCAAAGGGTAGAGCGTGAAGTGTATACAGTGTGAAGGTTATACAGTGTGAAGGGTACACTGTGTGAAGGGTAGACAGTGTGAAGTGTATACGGTGTGACATGTATAATGTGCGAAGCATATATGATATGTCAGGTATCAACTGTGACAAGTATATAGTGTGAAGTGTACACAATGTCAAGTATATCCAGTGGGAAAGGTATGGAGTGTGAAGTGTGCGCAGTATGACAGGTATACAGTGTGAAGGGTACATGGTGTAACAGGTATACCGTGTAAAGGGTATACAGTGTGAAGGGTATACAGTATAAAGGGTAGACAGTGTGAAGAACATATGGTGTCAAGCGTATATAGTGTGAAGGGTATACGGTGGGACTGGTATACAGTGTGAAGGGTATATGACGTGAAGTATATACAGTGTGAAAGGCATATGGTGTGACAGGCATACAGTGTGAAAGGCATATGATGTGACAGGTATAGAGTATGAAGGGTATACGGCGTGACAGGTATACAGTGTGAAGTGTATATGGTGTGACAGGTATAAAGTGTGAAGGGTATATAATGTGAAGGGTATACAGTTTGGAGGTTATACAGTGTGACAGGTATACAGTGTGAAGGAATACAGTATGGCAGTTATACAGTGTAAGAGGTATACTGTGCGAAGGGTATACCATGTGAAGGATAAATAGTGTGTAGTGTACACATTGTCAGCGGTAAACGATGTGAAGGGTAGAAGTGTGAAGGGTATACAGTGTGACAGGAACACTACGTGAAGGTTATATGGTAGTATAGGTATAAAGTTTGAAGGGTATATAGTGTGACAGATGTACGGTGTGAAGTGTAGAGAGTGAAGCCGATACAGTGTAATGGTTATACTGTGTGAAGGGAATACAGCATGAAGTGTATATGATAATGACATTTATACTGTGTGAAGTGTATATCGTGTGACAGGTATCAAGTGTGAAGGGTGTTTGGTGTGACAGGTATAAAGTGTGACGTATGGTGTGACAGGTATACAGTGTGAAGGTTATAAAGTGTGGTGAGTGTACGGTGTAACTGGTGTACAGTGTGACACATATACAGTGTGAAGGGTATATTGTGTATCAGGTATACAGTGTGAAGGGCATACCGTGTGTAGTGTACACAGTTTGAAGGGTATATGGTGTGATAGGTATACAATGTGACGGGTAGACAGTGTGAAGGGTGTATATTGTGAAGCTGTTTGGTGTGACAGGTAAACAGTGTGATGGGTATACAGCATGACAGGTATGCAATGTGAAGGGAATATGGTGTGACAGATATACAGTGTGAAAGATATACAGTTTGACACATATACGGCATGAAGGGTATGCCACGTGAAGTGCATACTATGTGAAGGGTATATGTTGTGACATTTATACCGTGTGAAGCATTTACGGTATAACAGGTATACAGTTTGATGGGCATACAGTGTGAAGGGTATACAGTGTTCAGGTATATGGTGTGAAGGGTATACAGTGTGACAGGTATAGACTGTGACAGCTATACGGTTTGAAGGATGTACAGTGTGAAGGGTGCACGGTGTAACAGGTATACCATGTGAACGGTATACTGTGTGAAGGGTATATGATGTGACAGGTATAAAGTGTGACTGATGTATGGTGTGACAGTTATGCAGTGTGAAGAGTATATAGCATGACAGTTATACAGTGTGAAGTGTATACAGTGTGAAATGTATACGGTGTGACAGGGATACAGTGTGAAGGATATATCGTGTGACATTTAGTCAGTATGAAGCGTATATGGTGCGAAAGATATACCTTATGAAGGGTATATGGTGTGACAGGTATACTGTGTGAAGGGTCTACAGTGTGACGGGTAGACAGTGTGAAGGGCATATGGTGTGAAGGGTATATATTGTGAAGGGTATTCAGTGTGACAGGTATACAATGTGATGGGTATACATTGTGACAGGTATGCATTTTGAAGGGAATATAGCGTGACAGATATATAGTACGAAGTGAATACAGTGTGACAGGTATACAGTTTGACAGATACACAATGTGAAGGGTATGCCGCTTGAAGTGCATTCTGTGTGAAGGGTATATGTTGTGACATGTATACCGTGTGAAATGTTTATGATATGACAAGTATATGGTGTGAAGGATATATGGAGTGACAGAGCAACAGTGTGAAGGGTATACAGTGTGACAGGTATACAGTTTTACAAGTATATGGTGTGAAGAGTATACAGCATGACATGTATACTGTGTGAAGCGTTTACTCTGTGACAGGTATACAATGTGAAGCGTATGTGGTGTGACTGGTAGAAAGTTTGAAGGGTATATGGTGTCACATGTGAAGGGTATACGGTGTGAAGGATATACAGTCTGAAGGGTGTACGGAGTAACAGGTGTACAGTGTGACAGGTATACAGTGGGAATGGTATATGGTGTGTGTGACATGTATATAGTGTGAAGGGTATAAGGTGTGACAGGTATACAGTGTGAAGAGTATATATTGTGACAGGTATATCATGTGAAGGGTATATCATGTGAAGGGTATACAGTGTGATTGGTGTACAGTGTGTAGGGTATATAATGTGACAGGTATGCAGTTTGGCAGGTATACAGTGTAAAGGGTATATCATGAGAAGTGTAAACTGTGTGAAGAATATACGGTGTGACAGGAATCAAGAGTGAAGGGTATATAGTGTGACATGTATACTGTGTGAAGGGTGTATGGTATGACAGGTATACACTGTGTGCAGAGTGTATGGTATCAAGTGTATACAGTACGAGGGGTATACAATGTAACAGGTAAACGGTGTGACATTTGTATAGTGTAACAGGCAAACAGTGTGAAGGGTATATGGTGTGACAGGTATACAGTGTGAAGCGTATATGATGTAACCGGTAAATGATCAAAGGGTATACTGTGTGACAGGCATAAAGTGTGAAGGTTATATCGTATGATAGGTAGAAAGTGTGATAGGTATACCATGTGAAGCGTATACCATGTAAAGTGTATGCAGTATGAAGGGTATACATTGTGAATAATATACAGTGTGACAGTTATACAGTGTGGGAGTATACGTTATGATAGGTATAACGTGTGAAGGGTATATAGTGTGACATGAATAAAGTGTGACAGGTATACTGTGTAACAGGCATACAGTGTGAATGGTATACTGTGTGAACATTGTACCATGTGAAGCATATACCATATGAAGGTTGGACAGTGTGAAGAGTATACGGTGTGAAGGGTATACAGCATGACAGGCATACAGTGTAAAGTGTAAACAGTGTGACAGGTATACAGTGTGATGGGAGCACTGTGACAGGTATACAGTGTGAAGAGTGTACAGTGTGAAGTATATATGGTGTGACAGGTATATAGCATGAAGGATATATGGTGTGACAGGTATGCAGCATGAAGGGTATACAGTGTGACAAGAGTACAGTGTGACAAGTATACAGTGTGAAGTGTATATGGTGTGACAGGTATGTAGCATGAAGGATATACGGTATGACAGGTATACAGCATGAAGGGTATACAGTGTGACAGGTATACAGCATGAAGGGTGTACAGCGTGACAGGTGTACATGGTGAAATGTATACAGTGACTGTGACTTCCAGTCTCCTCCCTCCTTCTTTATCTGTAACAGGTGAGTGTAGCACGTGACTCATGGAGAGGCGTGACCCTCACGGGAGGGGTGGGGCTGGGCTTTTCATGTGACCCCGGCAGTTGTCATGGCGCTTTCACGTGAGTCTGACTGTTGCTATGGCGTTGTGCTGTCCGGAAGCGGCCTGGAGGGAGCTGCAGGTGCCCGCTTTGGGCGGTGACTGGGAACTTTTCTTGGAAATCAGTGGCGGTATTCGCATTTACCGCAGGTGCTGCCAGGTGAGGCCGAGGATGCGGCCCGTTGGCTCTGCCCCGAGTGCGGCCTTCTCACTGTGGAGGGAGAGAGAGCCTGGGGAAGAGTGCTTTAGAATAAAGGGTACATGAGGATAGTTAGCTGGAACAGTCGGATCATTAAGTCGTGACATTGGGCATTCGTAATACAAATGATGTTTGAGTAATGGTTCAGACACTTTAAGTTCTGCTTTGACATAAAACAAGCTTTTAACCTTCCATCATTTGATTAATACGTATGTCCATGATTATGCCCTTAGTCTGCATGGAATATTTTCTCTCAAATTAAGGGCTTTTTATACGTCTCTGAAGCAAAGTTCATTGCATTGAGTTAGTAATCTCACCCAGTTTAAAAAGTGCGAAATGGAATGTTGACGGTCGTCTCACTCAGCTCGTGTGTAGTTGTAATAACAATTCTTCTGTTTTGGTTATGTCAATATCACAGACTAACCTCTGTATTCTGTCAGTATTTACAAATGTGGTACATGGAAAATGATTTGAATCCATTGTCTGATGTTGACTGAGGATACGTGTCGTCCACGATGGAGGGATAACTCTCCTGTTCTTCAACGTAACACCAAGGATCTTGTACATCCACTTGAACAGGGAGATGGGAGCTTTCTGTATACACGTCCAAGCGGGAAGATGGCACAGACATTAACAATACAAGATAGTGCTCCCTTTGTACTGGACTGATTTCTTTTGGGCAAGCCCCAGAATGGGTCTTGATCCTGGAATCTTGTGACTGTCAAGTGAGAGAGCTATAAAAATTCAGCCACAGCTGACACACATTTAGTGACAATTTGACTTTTGTTCAGAGATCAAAGTGGAAATGTTTCTCAGGGATGAGTTAAAATCATATCTTGAAATCATAGAAACCCTACATTGTGGAAAGATGCTGTTTAGCCCATCAAGACTGCACTGACCCTCTTTAGAACATTCCACCCATCCCTAGCCCCCCTCCATTTTACTGTGGCTAGCCCATTTAAACTGCACATCCACATTATTATTGGATAATTTAGCTTAGCCAATCACCTAACCTGCGCATCTTTGGTCTGACGGAAGAAACTGGAGCACCTGACAAAAACACATAGAGCGAATGTACAAGCTCCACGGAGACGGTTATTCAAGGCTGTGAGGCAGTAGTGCTAAACACTGAGCCACCGTGCTGCCCATTGAGCCACCTATTCAACAACTCATGCTGTGCCTGTCCATGGAGTGTTTGATGCTGACAGGGTAGAAGGATGCTAAGAGGAAATGTTTTACAAGGTAATTTTCCTGTTTAATATCTGAGAGAATTACTGAGAGAAACTTCTGTGAGAAAGCTCAGTGATTGACGTTGTATTGTACCATGGCAGTTAACATGACACTGGAAAGGTGCTCTGGCTGTAGAGATTGGAATTATTTCCTGTCCCATATGCAATTATTTGGCAACTATTTTGAATCGGGCCCCAGCAAATTGAGTTACTGAGTGGTCACTTCTTCTCTATAGAAGATGGATGGTCCTGCCAGCTACAATAAAGTACTAAGGATCATTTGCAGGAAAATGATAACCAGTGGTCAAAATGAGGTGGTTTTGGACAGTTATTATTGTGGATGAAGCATTGCTAAAGGGTTAGAGTATAAAAATAAGGAAGTGCAACATTCCTGCAACTGTGCAAGGTATCAGTGAGACTGGATCGAGAGTATTGTATACAATTTTTGGTCCCCTTGCCTGATGCATTGGAGACCGATCTAGTGAACCTCCTCGGAACTATTCCAGAGATAAGGGGTTTGTCTTGTGAAGAAGGAGAGCAGTTTAGGCCTATAGTCTCTGGAGTTCGGTGGAATAAGAATAGATCTAATTGAGGTATATAAGATACTAAACGGAATTGACAAAGTAGACACAGAATGGCCTATGTGAGGAAACAATCTAGAATGAGAAGTGATAGTTTTAGGATAAAGGGTAGCAAATTTAAAACAGGTGAGAAGAAATTGCTTCTCTCAGTGTCATCAATCTGTGAAATTCACTACCCCAGAGTGCAGCAGATGCTGGGACACTGAACAGATTTGAGGAGATAGACAGGTTTTTATTTAGTAATGCCACAACATCACCTTTGTACACTCTCTGTAATATTAATTATACATTAAACCTATATAATTATATAGGTGATGGACATTAACTAGGGATTCTGAATGAAGGTCTCTTGTGGTGCAGTGGTAACGTCCTTACCTCTGAGCCAGGAGGCCTGGGTTCAAGACCCACCTGCTCCAGTGAGAGGAAATAGCACATCTGAACAGATTGACTAGGAAATGAGTCCACAGACTGAAATTGTGGTGGGGGTTAGGAAATGCTGGTAAACTAAATTGGTAAGCAAATGCTTTAAAAAGTGCAAAGATTGGCTCCAGTTACATGCTTCATCAAGTGGCTCTTTGAAATATGAAATCCTTACTTCACTTAATGTCCACAAATCTATCTATCTCTTTGGATAGATTGAATAAGCATTCACCACTTTCTGTGCTAGAGAATTCCAAAGATCCACTCTTTGTTACAAAATTTCATTTCAACTCAATCCTAAATGGCTAGCTCATTATTATTTGCATTCTTCTAAACTCCCGGAAGTTTGGGGCGGCACGGTGGCTCAGTGGTTAGCATTGCTGCCTTGCACTGCCAGGGACCCGGGTTTGATTCCACCTTCAGGTAATTGTCTGTGTTTGCGTATTCTCCTGTGTCCGTGTGGGTTTCCACTGGGTGCTCCAATTTCCCCTCGCAGTCCAAAGATGTGCAGGATAGTTGGGTTGGCCATGCTGAATTGCCCATAGTGTTCAAGGATGTGCAAGCTATGTGGATTAGTCATGGGAGTGCAGGGTTACAGGGATAAGATCAGGGAGTGGGTCTGGGTGGGATGCTGTTTGGCAGGTTGGTGTGGACTCGATGGGCCAAATGGCCTGCTTCTACACTGTAGGGACTCTATAATTCTATAAAACCTAATTTTTTTTTCTGTTTCTTTTTATGCCTGGTGTATGTGGTGATAATGCTTTTTCATTCCTCAGTGATTATCAGTAACATCACTGTTTTCCTGATGGTTTGTGGAAAAACCTCCTTCTTGCCCTTTTACTGTGCTTATGTAACCAGACCTTGTCTAAGACTGGTGTGGCTTTCTTGTGCAGTGGGATTTCAACAATGCAGGATTTTGGTCCAGTGAGAACTGCACAACCCTTTATAAATTGCTGAGTTTTGTATTTTTCAGGAATCTAGTCTTTATGAATACAAAATCTATGGAACCTTTCCAGATTGTGATCCAGAGTTGTTCGTAGATGTGTACATGGACCTGGAGTATAGGAAGCAATGGGATAGTTATGTGAAAGGTTGGTTTACACTGTTTACAGTATCAGCGGTGTTTCAATGACAGCTTGTCTTGACATCTTAATTTCAAAGAATTAATGTCGAATAGCTTCTAATCACTTTCCACTTTTCCTGCACAAAATTTGGAAATAAGGTCATGTCTGTATTTGATCATGCATGTTCCACCCACCTATTTCCATGACTATATCGAGCTAAAGCAGGCAGAGTCAAAACACTGGTGAAAGCCTCATCCATGCCTTTGTTATGGCTGTGCCTTCAGCTATCAAGGCCCAAAATTCTAGAATTGCCAGTAATTCACTACCCCTCAATCTCCTTTCCTCCACAGTGTCAAAAAACCTGCACCGTATAAATGCACGTCGTATGATGTGCAAAATCACTGACCTTAAATGCTCAAATTGTAAATGAAAATTCAGCATGTAAGTTATCAAGTATTGTGTGCATCACTCGCTATTTTCAAAGGTGGGCATTCTTCTCAGAGCTGGTACCACTTCCCTTCCATACATTCGTACGAAATATGTTGAACTGGGATCGGCTCTGAGGAAACTCCCGGCTGAGATATTTTGATGTAGTTCTTTGTTTAAACAGCTGCCTTACATCTGTGAGCTTTGCTGAACTGTAGGTCAGGTAGTCTTTGAACAATCATGTTCTTTCCACTTGCTGTGTGTGATATTAAAGACTCCTCTGGTGTATGGTGTGTGTGGTGGGGTTGGGGAGGTGGGGGTCGGTTTGGTAAATGTATTTTTTGCATGATAGTCTATTTGTGTTTTAAAACAACCAGGGCCAGGAAGTTGCTGGGAAGTTCCACCCTATGCATTCTGTATCAGACAGCGCTGAGATTGTCTGCTGTTAACTGTTTTTGAGAGTTCTCATCTGTTAACCCAACTGCTAGTTACATAGGGTGACATGGTTTATGGGATAAAGTTGTTGCACTATCAGCTTTCATCTTGGCTGTTCACCCAGCTGGCCTTTCAAACTGATGAGTTTGGCTTATTTCAGCAGTGTCTCCCATTCCAAACTGGCCGAGTAGGTGTAAATCCATTATACTTGCGTGTACACAATTTCATGCTGCTGCAGTTATGTGCATCTTAAGACAATTTCAGAACAAGATCACCTCAGCACAGCAATGCTCCCATTCCATTTTAAAATGTTAAAACCAAAAATTGATTAAAAATGAATCACTTTAAATGATTAAAACAAAGTATTTATTGGATGCAAAAATGCTTACTATACAGCTGTTTGTTTTCCATATTTATGTGTGGGCTGTTTGCAGCGTGAGCTCCTTCTGAACACATTCAGTTACTGTTCATTACTGTCTAACCTCTTATCTGTTTGTCACCAGAGTAGTTGAAACACTTTGTGCTAGTTTGAGTACAATTGATGGATCATGTGCAATGTTCAAACTTTCTAAACAATATCTTTACACAGAATGTAAATAAAGGAACAAGCCATTCATTAAATCCATGCTGGCAATCCTACTCCACGTGACCATCCTCCATTGTTTTATTGTGCTCTATCAACAAATCCTTCCATTTCTCCTTCCTTGTATTTATCTACAACTCCTTAAAAGCTTTGGTGCCAATCATCTAATCTATTCCTGTGGTAGAGTTCCATTTTCTCAGCACTATGGATAAAGAAGCTTCTCTGATGTCTTTCTTTGGACTTATTAATGTCTTAAATATATGATAGACATTAATATCTATGTATTATTAAGCTTGGATTACCCCACAATTGGGAATATCATCTCTAATTTTATTATATAAAGCTCTTCATCTTTGCTAAGAAAAGAGATTATGGTTAAGTTAGCACATTCATTTTAGATGTTTGAATCCAGCCTAAACGGCTTGACTTAAAACTCTTGGAACCAATGGGAACTTTGCTCACTTTCCAAAAAACGTACAGGTCCACAGATCAGATCTGCTAGTGAAGTCCCACTAAATTGGTAATTAAAGGCAGCATTGTTGTGTTCTGGCGTTTTATTCTAAGTTTAGGTTTTTGAAATCAGTCAGCTAAACTGTGAGCTGTTACAATGGCAGAACAGGCTCAAAGGACAAATGGCTACTAGTGGATGACTGGCCGATGTAACTTATCTGAATTTGCTGATACAAAAATAGATGGGAGGGCATGTTGTGATGAGGCCATAAGGAATCTGCAAGGGTCTGTAGATAGGTTGAGTGAGTGGGCAAAAACCTGGCAGATGGAGTTTATTGTAGGAAAGTGTGAGGTCCTGCACTTTAGTAGGAAAAATTAAAAGGCAGACTATTATTCAAATGGAGACTCCAAAAAATGTGCAGCACAGGAATCTGAGTGTTTTGAATGAAAGACAGTAAGTTAGCATGCAGGTGCAGCAAGTAATTAAGACAGCCAATAGAATTTTAGCCTGCATTACTGCGGGTTGGATTTTATAAATAGGGAAGTCTTGTTACAACCATATAGGGTGTTGATGACACGTGGAGTACTATGTACAGTTTTTGTCCCCATCTTTAAGAGAGGATATACTGACATTGTAGCCAGTCCAAAAAAGATTCACTAGGCAGATTTGTGGAGTGGAAGATTTTTAAAATTTGTTCATGGGACGTGGGCATTGTTTTCAGGGTCAGCATTTATTGTCCATTCTTAGTTCTCCAGAGATCAGTTAAGAGTCAGCCATATTACTATCATACATTTGGTACAAACCATGTTTTGTAGTATTATGGAAGGAGTTGGCTGTCACATTTAGTGCTGTTCTCCTACAGGTCAGGGAGTTCCCAGGTTCCACCCTGCTGTGTGTGGTAACTAATTTCCAAGGTAGGCTAGGAGTGCAGTGATTATAATAATAAAGTCAAAAGAAGGGCAGTGTTGATGTTGGGAGAAAATTGATTAATGCTGGTCTGTAATGGCTCTTGTTAATTAAATGGCCTGCTTAGGTATTGTGCTCTGGAAAGGTAACTAGTGTCTATGGTCCCACACCCTAAAATATGAGCACCTGCTAGAGAGTTGGGCACGGTTGTCCATAAGAGATATGCTTAACTGGAAGAAAGCACTGCTTAATGGAGCATCTACAAACTGATGCTTAGGGAAACTGATGAATCATTCAGTAGTATTAAACGTTAAATTGTTTCTTTCTTTTACTCTGCAGAGCTCTGTGAGCAGGAGTATAATGGACAGAAAGTGATTTACTGGGAAGTCAAGTACCCGTTTCTTTTGTCTAACCGTGATGTATCCTTTCAAGTGTCTTGTTTATTTTTCTAACTGCAGTACAGAGATGTGTGAGGTCATCCATTTTGGTAGGAATAACAGCAAAATGGACTGTTTTAAATGGTAAAAAATTGCAGCACGCTGCTGTGCAAAGGGACTTGGGTGTCTTTGTGCATGAATCGCTGAAGATGGGGTTGCAGGTGCAGCAGGTGATTAAAAAGGCAAATGGAATTTTGTCTGCCATTGCTCAAGGGATGGAGTTTAAAAGCAGGGAGGCTATGCTGCAGCTGTACAGGGTCCTGGTGAGGCCACACCTGGAGTACGGTGTGCAGTTTTGGTCTCCTTACTTGAGAAGAGATATACTAGCACTGGAGGGGGTGCAGAGGAGATTCACTCGGTTGATTCCAGAGTTGAGAGGGTTGGATTATGAGGAGAGACTGAGTAGGCTTTCAGTGGAATTCAGAAGAATGAGGGGAGAACTTATAGAACTTACAGAAACATAAGATTATGAAGGGAATAGATAAGATGGAGGCAGGGAGGTTGTTTCCGCTAGCAGGTGAAACTAGGACTAGAGGGCATCGCCTCAAAATAAAGGGAAGCAGAGGTCAGGAGGAACTTCTTCACCCAAAGGGTTGTGAATCTGTGGAATTCCCTACCCAGTGGAGTGGTTAAAGCTACCTCACTGAATGTTTTTAAGGAAAGGCTAGATAAATTTTTGAACAGTAAAGGAATTAAGGGTTATGGTGAGTGGCCAGGTAAGTGGAATGGAGTCTCAAAGGTCAGCGATGATCTTATTAAATGGCACGGCAGGCTCGAGGGGCCAGATGGCCTCCTACTGCTCCTAGCTCTTATGTTCTTATGCCCTGAGGTGGGGGTTTGAAGGGATACTGCATAGGGAATTCCGATTTCTTTGGTATTAGAATTATTGTTTTCTCAGTTGTTTTGAGAAAATGGTTTTTGACAGTGAAATGTTGAAGTTTTATTCAATGCTGTTCGAATGTGACCTCGGCCACTTTAATGCATTTATCATAGGATTGTAATGAGGTGAAATATTGGGATCTATAGTGTATCCCTCTGCATCTTGGTAATGTATTGAGCATGCTGCTGATCTGCCTTTGCTATGGGTGCATCACTCTTCAGGCCACAATGTATTTGATATCCCTCAACGATCTGTTTGTGTATTGCAGAAAAATCAATGTACGTTTTTGTTATGATGTGGAATTTGCTGTTTGAAAAAACATTGGATAATTGTTTGAACAAGAAGTTCAGACCTGTGGAAATGAATTAGGGAAATGGGGATAACTGTATAATTCTTTCAAAGTGCAACAGGTGACTGTCTTCCTGAGGCTAAATTTGCAGAATTGGTCTGACAGCCTAACCTAGTTCTGAGGAAGGGCCACCAGACCCAAAACATTAACTCTGTTTTTCTCTTCACAGATGCTGCCAGACCTGCTGAGCTTTTCCAACAACTTTGTTTTTGTTCTTGATTTACAGCGTCTGCAGTTCTTTTGGCTTTTTTTTAGCCTAACCTAGTTATTTGGAGATACTTGTGGGACGTATGTTTGGATGACCCAAGACCTGTGCTGTTGTCAAAGTGCAAAAATAACCACTTTTTCCTACTAATACTGATTTCTTTCAGTTCCTCCCTCTAGCTTGACCCTGAATTCTCAGCATATTTGGAATGTTATGCATCCTCCTGTGTCCTCCCAGGATGTCTCTGCAGGGATTCCTCAGGGTAGTGTCCTAGGCCCAACCATCTTCAGCTATTTAATCAATGACCTTTGCTCCATCATAAGGTCAGAAGTGGGGATGTTCGCTGATGGTTGTACAATGTTCAGCACCAATCGCAACTCCTGAGATGCTAAAGCAGTTCATATCTGAATGCAGCAAGACCTGGACAATATCTGGGTTTGGGCTGACACGTGGCAGGTAACATTTGCACCCGGCAGGTAACATTTGCACCCTGCAGGTAACCAAGCAATGGCCCTCTTTGAGAGGAGAATATCTAACCATTGCCTTTTGACATTTGATGGCATTGCCATCACTGAATTCTTCCACTATGAGCAGTCAGGGGTTTTACCATTGACCAGAAACTGAACTGGACCAGCCATATAACTACAAAAACAGAAATTGCTGGAAAAGCTCGGCAGGTCTGGCAGCATCTGTGGAGAGAAATCAGAGTTAACATTTTGTGTCCAGTGACCCTTCTTCGGAATATGTTCTGAAGAAGGGTCACTGGCCCTGAAAAGTTAACTCTGATTTCTGTCCACAGATGCTGCAAGTCCTGAGCTTTTCCAGCAATTTCTGTTTTTGTTTGATTTTCAGCGTCCATGGTTCTTCTGGTTTTTATTGAGCTGTATAAATGCTTTGGCTACAAGAGCAGGTCAGAGTTTGTGAATTTTGCCAGTAACTAACCATAACCTGTCTCCAAAAGCCTGTCCATCTCTGTCTTGTGTCAGCATGGTGGCCCAGTGGTTGGCACTGCTGCCTCACAGTGCCAGGAACTCTATCCTTGGGCGACTGTCTGTGTGGAGTTTGCATGTTCTTCCTGTGTCTGCAGGTTTCTTCTGGGTGCTCCAGTTTCCTCCCACAGTCCAAGAATGTGCAGTTAGGTGGATTGACCATGCTAAATTGCCCAAAGTGTCCAGGGATATGCAGACTTGGTGGATTAGCTGTGGGAAATGCAGGGTTACGTGGATAGGGTAGGAGGTTGGGTCTTGATGGGATGCAGTTTGGACAAGTTTGTGGATTCAATAGGCCAAATGGCCTGTTTCCACACTGTAGGGATTCTGTGAAGTCAGGAGGAGCATGATGGAATGCTCCCTATGTGCCTGGATGAGTACAGCTCCAGTGACACTTGAAACATGTTATCTCTTGTCCTGGATGGGGTCAAGGTGTAGAGCTGGATGAACACAACAGGCCAAGCAGCATCAGAGGAGTAGGAAAGCTGACGTTTCGGGCCTAGACCCTTCTTCAGAAATGGGGGAGGGGAAGGGGATTCTGAAATAAATAGGGAGAGAGGGGGAGGCAGATAAAAGATGGATAAAGGAGCAGATAGGTGGAGAGGAGACACAGGTCAAAGAGGCGGGGACGGAGCCAGTAAAGGTGAGTGTAGGTGGGGAGTTAAGGAGGGGATAGGTCAGTCCAGGGAGGATGGACAGGTCAAGGAGGCAGGATGAGGCTAGTAGGTAGGAGATGGGGGTGGGGCTTGAGGTGGGAGGAAGGACAGGTTAGGGAGGTGGGAACAAGCTGGTCTGGTTTTGGGATGCGGTTGGGGGAGGGGAGATTTTGAAGCTTGTGAAGTCCACATTGATACTTTTGGGCTGCAGGGTTCCCAAGCGAAATATGAGGTACTGTTCCTGCAACCTTCGGGTAGCATCGTTGTGGCATCCCCCATCCAGGACAAAGCAGCTTGCTTGATCAGCACCCAGTCCGGCATTTTAAACATTCTTTCTCTACCACTGAAGCACAACAACAGTGTGCGCCATCTATTAACTGATCAAGTCTCCTTAGAACCTTCCAAACATGTGACTTCCACCATTGAGATGGCCAAAGGTTGCAGATACATGGGAACACCACCCCCTGCAAGTTCCCCTCCAAGCCACTCACCATCTTGACTTAGAAATATATCACTGTTACTTCAGTGTCACTGGATCAAAATCCTGGCACTCCCATTTTATGGTTATTAATGCAACAAGGACTGCAACTGTTTAAGAAGGCAGCTAACCGATACCTTCTCAAGGGCAATTAGGGATGAGCAAAAACTATTGGTTTGCTGATCAATGCTTCCTCCCAAGAGCAAAAACTGCTTCTGGAAGTATTTTTCTCAATCTCTAAAGAAGGAGCAAATTCTTTCCAAAGAAAGTGGTAAAGTAAGTGTGCAGAATGAACTGTTTCTCTATTACTGTAGCGGTTCTGAAGAAGGCAGTGTTGTCGTTTATGTTACTATTGTTGTAATCCTTGGAACATGAGTCCATTTCCTACCATGGGTGTTTTGAGAATTCACATTAATATGGACATCAGTGATCTTGATGTTACTGTATCACCAAATACTCATCTGTTTCACGAATGGCCTTGTGAAGTCTGTCTTATGTGCCTTAGTCCCATGTTGATGTGATTGACTGACTCTTAACTGACCTCTGAAGTAATCAGTTGAGTCTCAATAGTTTTCAAACAGCTAGGAATGTGCAGTAATGGTGGAATAACTGGATGAAAAAAGATGTTCTGAGGAAGGGTCATCAGATCAGAAACGTTAACTCTGATTTTTTTTTTTTTTCTTCACAGATGCTGCCAGACCTGCTGAGCTTTTCCAGCAACTTCTGTTTTTGTCATGAAAAAGATTTAAATCCATTTCTTTTGTTTCTGTGATCCTGGTGATATGAAAATAGTTAGTTTTAAAATGTAGCCTTTCAAGTGACTCCACACCCTGTAAATGAACAAAATGTGTTATTTTGAGTCACAATGGTTCTTTCTTTAACTTCATTCTCAGTATGTTTACGTTCGTGAGCGCCATGACTTGGATGTTGATGGACGAAAGGTTTGGGTGATTGTGGCAAAATGTGTGCCTGGTTTACCAGTGAAATCCAGTGTCATCAGAGTGGAGGACTATCATCAAACTGTGGCTCTGGAGAGTGATGGTAAACAAGGCACCAAAGGTATCACTGAGATTTTTGTCTTTATTGAGATTATTGTCTTAACATCTCAAATGTTTAATGAAGAATGGGAGTCTTTTCAGACTGTTCATCTGAACTGTGTTCTGATTCAAGCTTTCTGGGTTGGCTTGTCTGGAGGAAGTATTTTGAGCTGTGTAACTTGAAATGAAATTCAGTGCATGTGGTAGGCAAGGATAAAGTACGCCTATACAATGCTTACAGAAACGGATCAGTAGGCACAACAGGTCCATGCTGATATTTACTAGCTTGTCACCACAACACCGGGCTGCAGTACTGGTGGGAACAGGTCTGTCACTGCATATTAATGGGGTACTGTATTATTGGGTGCAGACCTGTCGCTGTATAACACTGGGCTACAGTACTGATGGGGTATAGGCCTTTAGGTTGGTTGGCTCGCCGACCTGGTTTCTTCCAGCAGGGTAATAAAACATCTGCGGTAACATCTTCAGTGCAGCCTCTGGTGAAGTGCTGTGTGTTTTCCCGCCTGGTTTTTTAAACTCAGGAGTCCATTGAGCTGGATTGCCTCACTTCCAGTTTTCCTTTGTAGTGGAGTGTATATGGGGTCGAGTTCTGTGTGTTTATCGATGGCTTTCTTCATGGAGTACCAGGCTTTTAGGAATTCCTGTGCCTGTCTCTGCTAAGTTTGTCGCAGAATTTTGGTGTTGTCCCAGTCGAATTGGTGGTTCTCCTTTATCCGTGTGGATTGAGATGAGTGAGTATTGGTCGTGTCTTTTTGTAGCCAGTTGGTGTTCGTGTACCCTTGTTGTTAGTTTCCTTCCTGTTTGTCCGATGTAGTGTTTCTCTCAGTCTCTGCAGGGGATCTTATAGATGACATTAGTCCTGTCCATGGCGGGGAGTGGGTCTTTAGTTTGGGTGAGCAGTTGTCGTAGGGTTGATGTGGGCTTGTGTGCTACTCTGATGCCCAGCGGTCGTAGGAGTCTTGTGGTTAGTTCCAATGTGTTCCTCATGTAGGGTAGTGTGATGAGTGTGTTGGGGTGTGTAGTATCTTCCTGATGTTGTTCGTGTAGGCATCTTCTGACCCAGTTTTTTAGGATATCCGTTATCCTTGAAAACCTGGAAGAGGTATTCTTCTTCCTCTTGGCGTAGTTTAAAAACCAGGCAGGAAAACACCGGCGCTTCATCGGAGGCTGCACTGATGATGGTACCCAGCAGGGTAACGAGACGTCTGCGGAACAACCAACCAGTTTGGTGAGCCAACCAACCTCAACACCCACAACCCGAGTTACAAATCTACTCCAAAACCTTAGAGGGTATAGGCCTGTTACTATATAACATTGGGCTACAGTACTGGTGGGGACAATGACATGCCTCCCCTGATTGTTTTATTGAGAAAGGCAGCAACAGGCTATGCCAGCTTTGATCCTTTATTGAACATGATACCACGGGGCAGCTATGACCCATAGGGTTTTGAATTGTGTACTCGGCGTCTTCTCTGAATAGAGTTGAAGATCTGATAAGGGAGTGTCAGATGATCAGAAATTATTTGGCTTGGCTCAAAGTTCAGTCAAATTTTGTAAGCCCCATTTGTGTAATTTTATCATTCTAAATTTGTTAATAAATGTAGTTTTGTGGAAAGATTGGTTAATGATCTGTCTTACGGCTGATTTTTTTTGTTCTTTCAGTGTTCATGCATTACTTCGATAACCCGGGGGGTATGATCCCAACTTTCCTTGTTAACTGGGCAGCAAAGGTAAGTGGCTTCATTTCTAGGAAGCAATGTGTAATGGTTCAAGGGCAATTATCTTCCTGCTTGTGATAATGCACAAGAATTGCAGATGAATTTGAAGAACCTGCAAGGATGGTGATAGAATGTTGAATGCCTTGGAATCTTCAGTCAGCACCTGTTTGTAGAAAAGCGATAGTTAACTGGATGAAGGGATAGCAGTCGGCTCTTTGGAGCTGACTCTTTTCAGTGAGTGACAACAGATCAGAAAAGGTGAAACCAATCACCTAATTGCTAGCCTGCCACAACAGTTAATCTAGGCTAGACCTGGCTGTGGTGTCCTATATCATGCAATACTTGACCAGGAATCAGGATCCAGACTCTGCTCTGACGGTCAAAGAGGAGTGACTTGGCCGTTAACAATGAAAAATTGTATCTCCATGAGAAGGCTGACAAGGAAGGGGAGGTGAATCTATGTCTGGAGGTGGTAACCCACTGGATGTGGCAGAAATGGCAGTTAATGATTCTCCAGTTGTGGATGCTGGTGAGGTGGTTGGTGAGGACAAGGGGGACCTCTATTGCTGTTGTGGGAGGGAAGAGCAGGTTTAAGGTCTGAAGAGTGGGAGATGGGTCAGACCCAGCTGAGGAACCTGTCAACTACAGTGCTGGGGACTCCTTGGTTGAGGAAGAAAGTGGGCATTTCGGAGGCTGCCTTGTTGAAGTTGGCCTAATCAGAATAGATGTATTGGAGACAGAGAAATTGGGAGAATGGAATAGTCTTTACAAAAAGCAGGGTTATGAGGATGTGTAGTCAAGGTAACTGGGAGTCAGTGGGTATGTAGTGGATGTTGGTGGTCAGCCTATTCCCAGAAATGGAAACATGCTGAGGAAGGGAAGGGAGGAGTCAGAGATGGACCAGGTGAAGGTGAGAGCAGTGTAGAGATAGGCTGGAACCCGCGAACTGGAAGTTCTGAAACGTGCGTAAAGTGTCTAGAGTAATCACGGATGTAAGTAGGAAGGGAGAGGAAAAAATTGAGTTAAGGTAGGAAGAGATGAGTTCTGTGGGGAGATTACCAGATGAAATGTGGTTTGTGATTGTAGTGGACACAATGGCCTTACGTTCCATGTTGGGGTCATGGTCTGGGGGAGATAGCTAGAGCTGGCGCTCAGCCTCTGCAGTGTAGAGGTCAGTACGTCAGACACCAACAGCACTGTTCTTGTCGGCAGGCTTAATTATCCAATCAGTATTGGATCTGAGAGCGCAGAGTAGAGTCTGTTCATGGCGGGGAAAAGTTAGAATAGGTGAGGGGAGGGCAGAGAAATTGAGATGACCAATGCCATGTTCATAGTTCTTGATGAGCAGGTTGAGTTCAGATAAAAGGCCAGAGGGAGAGTGTTGGAACTGGGCGAAGGGATCTGTGGGATAGGGAGAGGATACTTGCTCAAAGAAATGGGCATGGCAGCGAAGGCAACGGAAGAAGAGTTCAATATCATGTTCTACCCAAAATTCATTGAGGTGGGGGTGCAGAGGGATAAATCAAAACCATTGCTGAATACAAAACATTCAGCATCAGAGAGCAAGGTCAGAAGGAATAGTAAATACGCAACAGGAGGTAGGGTTGAGAGAGGGAATGAGGGAAAGGGATGGGAGTAAGGTTCCAGAGGACAATGGATATCTGAGTTGTTGAATCTTGTTTTCCTTGATGCCTGAAAGAAAATGAAAATGTTTCTTGTTAGCATGGCGAATGAGCCGGAGGATGAAGTGAAACAGGGAGCAGCGCAGCTCTGAGCTAGCGTGATGCGATGCTGTTAGAGAGAGGTTGAGTGTGCACGTGATGAGGTATGGCACTGAGTGTGGACCTTGGGATGCAGCGAGAGAAGTTGTCTGTGGAACGTTGAACATTGTGGAGCTATCTATGATCCTGGCTGGATTGAAAGCATAAAGGATGAAACTTGAGTTCGAATCCACATGGGGTGGGTCTGAACCAGAGGCAATCACTTAGGAATGTGATGTGGCTGCGGAAACGGATTTTAACAATACCTTGCCAACCGCCAGGAGTGACAGCAAAATTAATGATGGTGGAAAAAAAGATTGGAACAGAAATCCTATCGGAGAGAAAAACTTCAAGGTGGGCATGCCTAGAAGAGATGTGGCAGTGAGTTAAATACTAAATAAAAACCAAAAGAACTGCAGATGCTGGAAATAAGGAACAAAACACATTGCTGGAAAAACTCAACAGTTCTAGCAGCATCTGGCAATAAATCTGAGTTGATGTTTTGGGTCAGGTGACCTGTTCTCAAAACTGATTGTAGCTAGGAAAAGAATTTTTATGCAGAAAATGGGGAGGGGATAAGGAGTAAGTAATAGGTGGAGACAGCCTAAAGAGTGGAAAGAACTATTTTGGACAGACAAAAGTGGATAATGGTCAGCCCTGGTGAATGAATAGCTACAAATGGGGACTGAGTGGCTAACAATGGATTGTGTCTAATATCACACCAGGTGATAACAAGGCCTAGTGTGTGGGTGTTGGTGTAAGGACAAGGGAGAAGATGCCTCAAGACCTAAATTGTTGAACTCAATATTGACTCCAGAAAGCTGTGGAGTTCCCAAGCAGAAAATGAGGTGCTGTTCCAGATGTTGGCTAGGGAACGGGGTTGTGTGTTGATATGACGGGCAACTGGAAGCTCAGGGTCATCTTTGCAGATAGAACATAGGGGTTCTGCAAAGTAGTCTCCCAGTGGATGTGGTTTACTTGGACTTTCAGAAGGTGTTTGCTAAAAGATTTGCATGTAAAGTTAAAGTGAATGATATTGTGGGTAGTATACTGTTATGCAGAGAGAACTGGCTGGCTGACGGGAAACAGGAATAAAGGGAACTAAATGTGATATCTCCAAATTTGCAGATGTCATGAAGGTGGTGCTTCTGTGTGATTTGGACAAACTGGGTTAATGCATGGCAAAGGAAGTATAATGTGGATAAATGTGAGATTACCCATTTTGGTAGAAAAACAGGAAGGCAGATTGCCAACTTATTATTTATTATCTGAATGACAAAGCGGAGGTGCATTGGGACCTGGGTGTTTTTGTACACTAGTTGCTGAAAGTAAGCATGCAGGTCCAGCATGTAGTGAAGCAAGCAAATGATATGCTGGATTTCAACAAGAGGATTTGAGTACAGGAGCAGGGAGGTCTTGCTGCAATTGTATAGGGCCTTGATGAGACTACCCTTGGAATGTTGTGTGCAGTTTTAGTCTCTCTATCTGAGGAAGCATATTCTGGTCACGGACGGTGTGCAACAAATGTTTACCAGACTGATTCTTGGAATGGTAGGACTGACATTTGAAGAGAGACTGGATCAGTTAGGACTATAGTCTCTGGCGTTTAGAAGGATAAGAGGAGACCTCATAGAAATCTATAAAATTCTAACAGGACTACACAGGGTAAATGCAGGAAGGATGCTCCTGATGACTAGGGAGTCTAGAACCAGGGTCGTGGCCTGAGGATACATTTAGGATGAGATGAGAAATATATTCACGTAGAGAATGGTGAGCCTGGGGAGTTCTCTGCCACAAAGTGGTAGAGGTCAAAACATTGAATACTTTCAATAAAGAGTTAGATATAGTTCTTGGCTAAAAGGATCAAAGGGTCTTGAGAGAAAACAAGAATGGGGTACTGAGTTGGCCAGCCATGATCATATTGATGTTCCTATTTTCTGTTTCTATCTTCATAAGAGTGAAACAAGCCTCAGACAATAGCTACAGGGAGATGCTCACACCTTTTTAACAAACTTTTTTTCTTTATTCCTTCATGGGATGAAAGCATCTCTGGCTAGGCAACATTTATTGCCCATCCCCAATTTCCCAGAGGGCAGTTAAGAGTCAATCCCATTACTGTGGGTCTGGAATCACAAGTAGGCCAGACCAGGTAAGGATGGCAGTTTCCTTCCCTAAAGGACTTTAGTGAACCAGGTGGGTTTTTCCGACAATCAACAATGGATTCACGGTCATCATTAGATTGTTAATTCCAGATCGGATTCAAATTCCGTCATTTGCTGTAGTGGGATTCAAACCCAGGTCCCCAGAACATTATCTGGGTCTTTGGATTAACAGTCCAGCAATAATACCTAGGCTGTCGCCTCCCATCTTGCAGCTGCTCTGAGATTGAAGGCTTACTTCTAGATCTCCTACAGTTATGTTTCAGTAGTAATATAAGATTTTTATTCTAATTCATTTTGGTTCTTTTATATTCAAAAACACAGTGAAAGCAAAAATAAAATGCATGTTTTTTCAAACTGAGTTTTTCTTTATGGAGCTGTTGGAGAGGCCTTCGCATGGATGGTTCAGACTAATTTCCTCTAAGTTATATGGCTTAAAATTTATACATGTAGCAGGAAAATTTTTTTAACATCTCCTAAAGAGTTTCTTTTAAATCGCAGAGGGGAGTTTATTTTAACGGAGTTTTTTACGGAGCTGTTGGAGAGGCCTACATGTGAACAGCTCTGGAGTGGGTCTTGTTTTAAATCAGAGGATTGAAAGCTATCTGCTGGACTAATTGAGTCATTTTAATTCGATTGTTCAGCTAAGTGGTTGATTTTAAGATTTTTGTTTTTTTGTTTTGCATGCTTAATATCAAGTAAGTGGCATGGTAGCTCAGTAGTTAGCACTGCTGCCTTACAGTGCCAGGGACCCAAGTTTGATTCCATCCTTGGGTGACTGTAGAATTTGCACATTCTTTCCGTGTCTGCATGGGTTTCTTCCCACAGTCCAAAGATGTGCAGGTTAGGTGGATTAGCCACGGGAAATGCAGGGTTACAGGGATGGTGTCTGGGTGGGATGCTCTTTGGAGGGTCGGTATGGACTCGAGGGGCTGAATGACCTCCTTCTACATTGTAGGGATTCTGTGGTTCTATGATCAGTTCTATGGGTAAGGAAAGGTAGTTTATTTTAGATACAAGGTGCCACTGAAATTGCCTTTTTTTAAAAGGCTTGATGTCATTGAGGGCAAACAAATGACACCGATTTAGATGGCTTCTACATTTAGAGAAGTGATTACACAGCAGAGTTGGTCAGGTGGGTGAGTGACCGTCAGGAAAGGTAAGATGGTTTAGAAGTCTCTGTGGTTATTCCTCACTCAAACAGATATTCAGTGTTGGGAACTGTTGTCAGGGATAATGTCTGAGGAAAATAGAAGAGGTAGTCAAATCTTGGGCATGAAGAATGAATCAGGGGCACAGAGATTCTCTCTCAGGCACAGAATCTCAAGTGTGTTGCTTTCCTGGTACCAGGATTAAGGATGTCTCAAAACATTTGAAGGATATTGTTAAAGGAGAGAGAAAATTATTGTACAGATTGGGAATGACATAGTTCAGGAAAGGATTAAGGCTTTGCAGAGTGAAGTAAAAGGTTAGATAGATTTTACAAAATGGATCCTTAAAAGTAATTTCTCCCACTTCCTACAGACAAAGGGGGTGGCCATGGGTACCCGCATGGGCCCAAGCTATGCCTGCCTCTTTGTAGAATACGTGGAACCATCCCTCTTCCAAAGCTACACTGGCCCTATCCCCCACCTCTTCCTCTGTTACATCGATGACTGACTGTATCGGCACCGCCTCGTGCTCCCACGAGGAGCTTGAACAGTTCATCCACTTCACTAACACCTTCCATCCCACCCTTAAGTTCACCTGGACCATCTCTGATACCTCTCTCTCCTTCCTGGACCTTTTCTGTCTCCATCTCTGGCATCCATCGGGAAACTGATATCCATTTCAAGCCTACCGACTCCCACAGCTACCTAGAATACACCTCCTCTCGGCTACCTTCCTGCAAAAAGGCCATCCCCTATTCCCAATTCCTTCGCCTCCGCCACATCTGCTCCCACGATGAGACATTCCACTCCCGGACATCCCAGATGTCCTCGTTTTTTGAGGACCACAACTTCTCCTCCAGAGGTCGAAAAATGCCCTCGACCGTGTCTCTTGCATTTCCTGCAACTCATCCCTCACCCCCTACCAACAATAACAACCAAAACAGAATCCCCCTCGTCCTCATGTACCACCCCACCAACCTCCGGATCCAACGCATCATCCTCTGACATTTCTGCCATCTGCAATCTGACCCCACTACCAAAGACATTTTTCCCTCCCCACCCCTATCTGCTTTCCGGAGGGACCACTCTCTCCGTGACTGCCTTGTCCTCTCCGCACTCCCCTCCAGCCCCGGCACTTTTCCCTGCAACCGCAGCAAGTGCTACACCTGCCCCTACACCTCAGCCCTGTCCCAGGCCCTAAGAAGACCTTCCACATCAAACAGATGTTCACCTGCACATCTGCTAATGTGGTATGCTGTTCCCATTGTGGCCTCCTCTACGTCAGGGAAACCAACCGGAGGCTTGGACTGCTTTTTGGACACCTACGCTCGGTTCACAACAAACAACTGCACCTCCCAGTCACGAACCATTTCAACTCCCTTTCCCATTCCTTGGACGACGTGTCCATCCTGGGCCTCCTGCATTGCCACAACAATGCCATCCGAAGGCTGCAGGAACAGCATCTCATATTTCGCTTGGGAACCCTGCAGCCCATTGGTCTCAATGTGGACTTCACAAGCTTCAAAATCTCCCCTCCCCCAACTGCATCCCAAAACCAGCCCAGCTCGTCCCTTCCTCCCACCTCAAGCCGCACCCCCATCTCCTGCCTACTAACCTCATCCCGCTCCCTGGACTGACCTATCCCCTCCCTAACTCCCCACCTACACTCACCTTTACTGGCTCCATCCCTGCCTCTTTGACCGGTCTGTCTCCTCTCCACCTATCTTCTCCTTTATCCATCTTCTATCTGCCTCCCCCTCTCTCCCTATTTATTTCAGAATCCCCTTCCCACTTCCCCATTTCTGAAGAAGGGTCTTGACCTGAAACGTCAGCCTTCCTGCTCCTCTGATGCTGCTTGGTCTGCTATGTTCATCCAGCCCTGCACCTTGTTATCTCTAATAATTACTGCACCTTTTTAGCTTTTCTATTAGATGTTTATCATATACTTGCAGAGGAAAGAGGGAATCTGATTGTAGTCTGATTATACACTCTCTCAACACATTTGTAGATCTGGATTGAAGGATGGGCACAACAATAGTCATACACTGAGTGTGGAATGGCTGCTATTCAAAACTGTGATAATTAATGTGTATTTAAACTTTTGGATAACTCATTTCAGGTCATTAACACAATTGTGTGTTTCTACAGACTGGAGTGCCTACCTTTCTGAAAGACATGCAGAAGGCTTGTGCTAACTACCCTGAGTACTGCAAGAAATCTGGGAAATAATTGCCATGCTATTGATTCAGATTTGATACTCTGCAAGGATGAGAAGATTTGTCCCAACTTAAAAGACGTCTCACCTTTGTGCTATATTGTGATTGGCTTGCATTGTTTGACCAGTGGAAAAATCATATATTTATCACTAAGACTGTCTGCACTCACTGCATTGTATGTCTTTTTATACTATCCTCCTTATCTAACAAATCCTTGGCATCCCTATCATGGAGTGTAGAAGAAAATGAAGTAATGACCACCCATAAACTACACTTTTATAAGTGGGCAAAAGTTCTGCAGCTTTAATCTTACCTACACGATGGTTTTAATGGGGACTGATTTAAAAACAAATAGCAGGTGTGGAGTTGAAGAGTTTCTTTGAGTGGAGCGGGGAGAAAATTGGCACTGCACTTTGAATGTTGTTTGGAATTGTTTTTTCCTGTCTCTTGGCATTTGATTCTGTTTTCCATTAGCCATGACTAGGAGACAGTTCCCCACTGCTACGCTCATGGTTGGGCTGTTCGTTATAGGGAAATCTTAAATGAAGGGAACCAGAACAAAATATTAATAAATATTGCTGAGCCTTTCCTGGATCTAAGTCTGAAGGTTTTCCAGGTGTTCTTTACTCCTGACTTTCCACCTTGCTTTCACCCCTCTTTATTTCTCTCCGGGGATTTAGTTGAGCCTGTTGTGTACTTGAGGCCCACATATGGTGAACAATATGGTTGACTGTAGCTCAATGGCTTGCTGGTTGAAGAAACTTTAACTGTACTCAGTGAGGGATTATAAAACGCCAACTACTTAAGTTTACATTCTGCATCTGTCAGTTCTACCTGTGCTTTAGGGGGGGAAAGAAGCCTAATGCCAATATTCACTGCTCTTGAGTAGTACATGGGAGCATAAGCTGCTTTCTCATTGAACTTGGTGTGCGAGTTTAGAACTGAATGATAATGTGCCACTCTGAACACAATGCAACAGTTACTGATTGGCTTCCAGCAATTACTGTGTACCTGGAACAGTGGAGAGCGTGCAGAGGTGCGGGGCCTTGCTTTCTTGGTTTCAATGTATGGAATCTAGTTTTCTGAGTATGGGGCTATGTTGCAGTGTCTCTCTCGTATTTCTTGATGGACTGCACATTGTATTTAGTGAAATTATGAATGTAAATCTTGTGTTGTTCCTAGCTTTCTACCTAAATGCTCTGCTTATTACTCATCGCTATCAAATAAGGCATTCTCTGGCTGGAACTTATCAGAGTGGAAGGTTTAGTATGGTATTCTCTAAATTCCTGAATGGCCTTTCCTGAAACTGGACATGAGCACAGGCTTTTAAGACAGCTGCTAACATTTGGATACTTAATTCTCTCTCCAGTGGTCAAAGGTGTTGTCTTTATTCTTTGCACAATCTAGGGCCATGCATGAAGGCTGTCTGCTACCCCATTGATTTCTACCCTTGGCTGCTGTCATTCTTGACTGTGTGGCTAAGAATGGAACAGTAAATTTGTAATTTTCCCTTCATGATCCCAATTCATAAAACAGATTGTTGCTAATCTTTTTATAATCCCGAGAGGATTTTTCTGCATTCTTTTAAGCCTGGCCCATCCTACATCTTTGAGCCTTAGTAATCCCACTCCCTTCACCTTTTTGTTACCCTTCTGTCCACTCCATGATCAGACCCTGTTTAAAGCAATCTCCTGCACTTCCTTGTGGCTGATTTTAAGTGTTGCCTTGATCCCTGGCTACTCAAACTCTTACCATTTTTCTCTTTCTAAAATTATGCCTTGACTGTGATCCTGTTTTCTGTGCATTTAAATGTGCTGCATCACCCAACCAAGAGATATAGAAGTTTCTTTTTCAGCATTTCATTCCACTAGTTTCCAACTGCCTAATGTTTCTTTTGCATTAGCGTTTTGTGCTGAATCTATTCCTTTGTTTAGACCACCCAGTCATGCATTGTATTTGTTTTCCTGAAACTTCAAAATTAAAAGTTGAGTAAACATTCTGTATTCTTTGTTTGCTGTGGATCTGAATGGAAATCTGAATGATGTGTCCCTCAGTGGTAAGAGGGGTATCTCCCTTGTTTCAGCAGATAGTGGCAGTGTGCCAGTTGGCTGAGAAGGTACTAGGAAGCTGATATCTGGTGCTGTGATCTTTGACTTAGTTGGAACTTTAAACAAAATCAAAGTTTCTCTTTCAACAAAACTTCCACTTTTTTACAACATGTTCAGTTCAAAAATGTTTCAAGGTGCATCACAATGGCCATTCTCAGATACAACTGAATGTTCAGCTGCATCCAGTGTCCATTAAGTTCAAAACCTTGGCCAAATTGGCAGGTTTTGTGGGATGACTTAAGGAGCAGAGAGAGGCCCACAGGAAATTCTAGTGCTTGAAGTATAAACAACTGAAGATCTGGGCTGCTGGGGTGGAGTGCAGGAAGTTGGGGATGAGCAAGGAATCAGAATTGAAAGTGTGCCAGCCCCTGAGGGTTGTAGAAGTGGGGGAGATCATCAAAGAGGAAAGATGTAGAAAAACTTAAGAACCAGGATGGACAAAGCTACAAAAGTGTCATACATAACATCAACTGAGGAGACAAATGGAGTATGAGTGAACCAGTGGAGCTCTAAGTAAAGTTTTGGTTTTACTTAAGACAGGAGACAGGTGAGTCGGAAGGAAGGAATACTACATAGGATAAAGAAGCAGCAATGAAAGGATTTTTAAAAATTAAGCTGCGTGTGTATTTAATTAAACTGGAATGTCATGAATAAGCAGAAATTTGGAATGAAAGGAAGCTTAAGAATTGATTAGAGCAGAATGTAATTATACGTACTAACTCTAACTCATACTGGAACACCTAGATGGCTTTGCAACTCCGAATTCTGCAGTTGTTACCCATTTAAATAATACTCCCCTTTTCTACACTTCCTGTCAAAATAAGCAATGCTACACTTCCTGCCATTTTGTTTTGTTTTTGTTCATGTTCATAGCCTACGAGTCAGTTTGCAACCTGGTTACATCCTCTTCACAGCATACTTTCCTCTGTATTTCTGTCATCTGCTTGTTTAGCTACTGTGTCTTTGATTCCTTTATTCTTCAACTGTGTCCCCCATTCTAGTCGTCTTAAGAGGAAACATTCTCCTCAATTGCATTCAGGATCTTGAATGTTCAACAAGATCATCCCTCATTGGGCCAACCTGTTCAATCTTTGTTCAAAAAATAAATACTTCAGGAATGATTGCACAGTACTCCAAATATGGTCTCAAAGGTTCAGTACAACTGCAGTAATATTTCTCTACTCTTGTATTCTATTTCCCTTGTAATTAACACCAACTTTTTGTGTCTAATCATTCACTGTATATGCATGCTAACTTTGTGGTTAATGTACCAGGATAACCTCTGTACAACCAAGTTCTTCATGTTGAAGTGGATAAGTTCACATTTTCCCACATATTCCATCTGCCAAATTTGTGCTCACTTATTGTACCAAGCAGCATGACCTTGCACCTGTCACAACAAGCAAGTACTGCCTGTACTCACCTAGCTCTCACTGCAAAGCTTCCAACACAGTGTCTCATATTAGGTGCGATTCTGCAGCATTTGCTGATAAGCCTGAGTGTGAGAAGACTTATGCTGGCAACTAATTTAGGATTGTCAGTTGGGCTCACGGTGTAGCACCCCTGTATGCAATGAAAGCTACATTTATTAATTCACAGGTACTGTTTTGGACATCATGTAAGGTTGTGCGCATGTACTGCATCCATTTCAACTCGAAGTAGGTAACAGCCATTTACTGATTCATTTCTCTGGTCACTGCCCTAACAATCAGTCAACCTGCTTGATTTAAAATTTAAACAAAACCTGGCTGTTAATCATCATCATCAATTGGTACATTCTTCATTGCATTACAGCTACCAATCAGCACTCCTCATGCAGTATAAATATTGTTCCCCTTGAGTTGGCATTTGTGAATTTTGAGTGTAAGCCAAATGTCAACAAAATGTATTTTTTCGATAATGTTTAATATCTGTCCTCCCAAATGACTAGATATTTTTAAAAATGTTATGAAGGTTTCTGCCTACACCACCCTTTCAGACGGAGATACAGACTCTCACCACGTTTCATTTGCTTAACCAACAACTTCTGGTCTATGCACATAAATGCCTACGCCTTTCCCCGTGCTTTGGTTCCTCTGCACTCACATAAACATGCAAATTAGGAGAATGAATAGGCTATTCAGCCCTTCAAACCTGCTGTGCCATTTGATGATAATGGCTGATCTAATTGTGGCTTCAACCCCACTTTCCTGTCTATCCCTGACAATCTTTGACTCCTGTTTTAATTACAAATCTATCTGACTGAGTCTTATAAAATACTCAATGATGTTGCCTACGCTGCTTTCTTGGGAACAGAATATCACTGGTTAATGACCACCACCCCTTCATAAATGGTGACCCCCTTATTTTTAAGCATTGCTCCCTTCTAGCCTTTGCGATAAGGGGAGACATCTTCTAGCATCCTTCTTGTTCATGTCCCTCAGGATCTTGTACGTATCAATATAACCTCCAATGGATGTAGGCCCAGCCTGTCCACCTTTCCTTGTTGGCTCTCTAAACTGCATCTAATGTATGTACAAATGAAAATTTCACTTAATTTGTTTCTACATGTCTTTAGAACTTGTGGCATTTGAATCCAGGCCTCGACTCGGAGACACCACCATTGTGCCACAAGAGCCCCTTCCAATATAGTTGTATTTTTAAAATAAGTAGACAAAAACTGTACACAACAGTCCAAATGTGGTCCCAATAACACCCTATGCAACTGCAACAAAACTTCGCTACCTTTATGTCTATTTCTGTTGCAAAAAACACCAGCATTTATCTTCCTAATCACTTACTGCACCTTTACAGCAATCTGGTATGCAAGACATCCAGGCAAAACAATATACCACCTTAAGCATAGCAAAACTTTTCAGAAATATTCATCCCATCTATTACCTCTACCATTTCTGCTTCTACCAGTATTTTGTCAACATCATTGTAGTAAACAGCAAATCAAATTACTTAACTAAATATTCAAGCCTTTGGCCTGTGTATCCAAGCAAGTATTACTTTCTTTGTCCTTGATAGGACTGACCCTGCCTCTTACTACCTGTTTACTATTTACATGCTTGTAGATGAATTTTATGTTCGTGATCATTTCAGTGTCATATTTTCTCTTTTCCAGTTTTATTTTCCACCACTTCTCATCTCAATTTATTGTATTTGAGCTGCTTCTCGTTTGAAGAATCCACCTGACAAGCATTATACCCTGTCTTTTTTGATTTTTCACATTTGTTCATGGGATGTGGGCATTGCTGACTGGACCAGTAGTTATCGCTTATATCTCCCTTGTCATCTAAGAGACAGAGCCTTTGTTTCCCCTTCGTTCTCCTCTTGGCCTAAAATATCTCATTAAAGAGCACCTATTTCTTTGTTAAGGGTTTTTTCCTGATAATCTTTGACTAGATTCCCTCTCATCTCATTCAAGTTAACTATCTTCTATTTGGAAGTTCTACTTTAGATTGTTATTTTCTCTACTTCATTACCAATCTAAACTTTATGATGTGATGGTGACTTTTATCCAAGTGTTTCCCTGCTGACAGTTTGTCCACATGGCACACCTCATTTCCCAGCACCCAATCCAGCAATGACTCCTTTCTCGTTGAGTCAAAAGTGTTCCAATGAAGAAATTTCTCCTGAAGACATTATCAATTCCTCCTCCCCCTCCTACCCTTCAGTCTAACATTATTTCAATTGATATTTGAGTAATTAAAGCCCCTCAGTATCACTGCTCTACAGTTCTTGGTTGATATTAAGGATTCCACAATGTTATTAATTGTAGCATTAGGATGTTCCTTATCAACAATATTACTTGATCGCTTTCCACATTGCTGTCAGCAAAATCTTGCTGTTTAGAAAATGGCTGTTTGCCTAAGGTGACTCATTGTTGGGCATTATATTTCTGAGTGATGTGATGTGGTGCTCAATACATGTTGGACATTCTCTTTACTGTACGTAACTGTATATGCAATAGGATGTTTTAGTAATTGTTGTGATCTCCAAGACAGCGGCAGAGTACCAGCGCAGCATGTGGGCTCCTGCCGGGAGCTCATTTGCTCTGTCTGCTTTTACTGTTTTTAGTCCCTTCACAGCTTTTTTTATTACTGTAATGTATTTACCTTCTGTGGAGAGATTGAGCCAGTGTGGGGGACAGTGAGAGAGCGTGGGGAGAGCAAGAGAGTGAGCCCAACATGGAACAGAGTGAGCCAGGGTTGGGGAGATTGAACCCAGCACAGTGGCAATAGAGGTTCCCTGGTATCTGCAGCGGCAGCGAGAGCAGGCATGCTGAGGTCTCCTGGCATCTGCGCTGGCGTCAAGCATGGGGAAATTGAGCCCAATGTGGAGGAGATTGAAACCAGCATAGAGAAGATATACCCCTTGTGAATATTGTGAGCCCAGCATCGCTAAACACTTAAGAAGGACTTTAATGTTCAACTATTAGCCATGTTTCCTTTTTTTTTCACTTTGTGGCTAAGATTTTGTACCTAGATATCTTAATACTTATGATGGCGCCAGGAATGGTGACATTGTACGTCTTTCACTGTACTTCTGCATCCCTGTACTTGAGTACATATGACAATAAAATCTAATTCTGATTCTGATTCCACAGGGTGGGCCCTGCTGGCGGAGCCTTGGTTTGGAGATGGGGATCTAACACTATTGCACCGAAACTCCACCCCACACATTGAGCACAGCTTGCCTACAGGACAGAGAAACCAGGAAGTTTGCCATTTGAGCTTTCAGGTGGGGGCGAGAGATTTCCCAGCACTGTTCAAATAAAAGCAGGCTAGTTATTCCCAGTGTGCATGCCAAATAATCAGCTGTCAACCAACGTCACAACAACAGCGGCCATGATCGTGGTGCTGTTTGTGGGATCTTATTGTGTAAATATGCTGTTTTGTTTCTT